AATCTTATGAAATTTTTTCATGAAATTGTTTAATCTTGTGAAATTGTTTCATATAATACTTTTTTTGATGAAGTTGTTTCATATATGGTTTTGAAATTGTTTCATATAATACTTAATGAAACTGTTTCATGTATTTCTCTAACATTAATTAAAACTGTTTCATGTATTTCTCTAAAATTAAAATAATGAAGATGATAATATCTATGATTAACACCTTCCACAATAAAAATGATTAATCAACCTCTCATAATTACAAAAAAATGAACAAAATGAAAAATTATGATTGGTTGAATGCGGTTTGCACGGTTTGTACAAATTGAGTGGTTTGTATTTGATCGCTCCCATAGATATATATATATATATATATATATAAAGCCGAGAGTGATGGGCAGTGTGGATTTTCTTCATTTGTTTTCACGCAAGTCCTATGGCTATACCAAAATGGTAGATGCATAATTACCAATTGTTTTAAAGAATACTTGGAATCTCAGGCAATTGACAAGAGAAAAAGAGATTTTGTCGGTCGACGTGAGACTCCAACAAATACAACGACAAATCTCGATCATGAGCTAAAATGTATGCACTTTGTGCCCTACTTCACTACATTACCAAACAAGCATTCGGATTTTCGTCACTAAACAACTGAGGGGCATAAACATAATGAACGAAATAAGGGACCTCGCCTTCCTTGGTCTGTGCTTCGACTTTCTTCCTCTCTTCAAATTCTACAATCTTTGTAACTTCGACAGTCACCTTTTCTTTCGTTTCCACTTTCTTCTCTACCTTCCCTTTCGAAGAAGGTTCAGATATGATTTCCGCATGCTTACGCGCTCTCTTTTGCATGTAGGTCACAATCTTTTCAGCCTCGATAGTTCCTTCGATTACCACAGTCTGTGACTTTATATCAGTTTTGACATTGTGTATGCCTGCAATTTCCCATGGCTCTTAGTTCAACTGTGCAATACATCACAAATTCACATATAAACAACTAAGAACTTTAAGGAAATCGATATGCGTAGTTTACCTTTGTGTTTTAGTAGCTTCGCTCGAAGATCATGCTCACATTTGTCGCAGTGCATGTACGCCTTTATTTTCGTTGTCCTTATAGTTTCCTTTGTGCACAAACACAAACGGATCGTATCATTCATGATTCATCAAAGAATCTTGATCATCCTACTGTTCATAGTTTGTAGAAGTGAAAGTACCTGCCTAATGCAGTACCCTCTTGTCTAAAGTTCAAGTGATTTAAGCCTTGGCTCGAGCCAATGGACCCATCTTTGAACATGAGACGGGCGAGCCAGATGTTCACCACCAGACCCACCCAACTATACCAAGTCACAGTCGTCCAACCGACCACGAAAATTACTTGAAAACTAATATAATATAATAATCAGGTTAAATGGTTAAAGTATTTGCATATATGTAGATAGAATTGAGAGAACAAGGGTTTTTCACGAGACTCGTAAAACTAATTCTCAACTTTTGGATTAGATCTACAATTTGAACATTCGTAATCACAAAATTGCCACAGTACAACTTTAAGCCATTAGATCATTAGCTTATAAAGTTGATCAATAAACATAAATTGATCTTACGGGTCTCACGAAAAACCTTTGGTCTCACGTGAACCCAACCCTAATTCCATTATACTAAATACAGCAAAATTACGATAAATAATAGAATAAGTAACTCTTACTATCTTGGTTTCCTTCTTTTCTATTGCTTTCTTCTCTTGTGATAAAATCTCAACCTTTTTCCTGCTCCATTTCTCTAATCTTTCATGTATCTTCTTCACTTCAATGATGCCTTCCACTGTAATTTCACCTTTCTCATGCTTAACATCTACTTTATGGACTCCTGATCACGGCAAAAAGAACGAACGGACAATCAAAGGTTTCATCCTTCCTAGTGCGGCGTCTCGGGTCTTTTTTATTTAAAACAAAGAGACGGTGGTTTCTATATGCCGAGAACGGAAAAAAGAACACGAAAACCGACAGTTTTAGCAAGATCTCGTTAAAATGTTGAAAACAATCAACACTCATGAATTCTGTATTACAATGGGATAAAAATACGTTTTGTAAGAATATTGCTACCGATAATCATTTAATTATCAGTTAAATGTCTAAAATTACCAATGCGACAAAATAGAGTAAACCCTAGCTTTTTTTTTTATTAACTTGGATATCCAACCCGCTATGCGAGCCGACTAATTTAAGGGCGACCACCTGCTTTGCAGATAGCCCGGAATCACCGCATTTGAACCTCCGTGGCGACAAGGGGATTTTTAATCCTCCTTGGATTTGAAACTGAGACCTCCTGGTACTTTTGATCTTTGGAGTCAAGCTTAAACCAATCAGACACCACCCTTCTGGTTGTAAACCCTAGTTTTTTCCTCTTGTTTTGGTAAAAATGGTTGTGCGGGTTGGATTGCACCCACCTCGAATAATCTTGAAGTTAACAGTCAGACAAAAATATGACTTGAACCTATAACCTCTTGGGAGTAAACCGAAGGTTATACCGTTTAAGCTACCGTTCACGGTTTAACTAAACCCCGGTTTGTAATATGAGGATACACATTGATACATATGATAAGCGAATTAAAATAGAAAACATTGTGGTTTTTAAAGAATAATGAATCGATACCTGGAGTTCTTGAGAGTGGCTTCTTAATATCATGAGCACATTTTGGGCAATGTAGGTTCGCTTTATAAACAGCAATGGTGATGGACTCTTTCTTTGCTAATTCATCTTTCGCCATGGCAGCAGTCTCAGTTTCCTTGAGTTATCAGGGTTATTAATTAAAGCTGCATAAAGTGTTCTTCAAGGGACCTGTTTGGTGGGAATTTGATTAGAGTGGTTCACTAACCACTGCAAACATATGAACCAAAATGATGGGTTGGTAGATGTCACGCTTTGAAGATTTCAACTTTTGATCACATGACACTCAAACACAAGGTCAAAAGTTGGTTGTTTTATACGCATTACTCGTTAATGATTAATGAATTACTCAAGAAAACGGTAAATCGAATCTCCATTTCATGTTTCCAACGATTACAAAAAGAAAATAATACGAAAACCCTAGATCCTTAGCTAAAGTAGCTAAGAAAAAGAGAGATATCGTAAGCAGAAAAATGAAAAATATTGATTACAAAAAGGAGAAATAGCCTATATATTATTTAGGTAATTGCAAGAATGGTCATCAGAAAATGACTATAGTTGCTTCGCTGCTCTTCAAGTCTTCCAAAAAGTACCAACTTCAAGATATTGAGAGCTTCAATCCCTTAAGAAATTAATTCTGTCAAAAATACATCAAAAGTTAAGATTGTTAAAAATCAAATCATATTTTAACATTCTCCTCCAATCTTGACTTTTGAATAAGTTAATCATTCGTAACTTTGAACGTAAGCAGTTATGATGATTAATACCAAGAGTTTTTGTGAAGATATCAGCATATTGTTCTGAAAAAATAATTTTTACAATTTTTAAGAAACCTTTACTAATGATTTCACAAATTTTATGAATATCAATTTCAATATGTTTAGTACGTTCGTGAAAACAAGATTGCTGGCTATTTGAATAGCAGATTTATTGTCACAATATAAACATACCGGTAGTAAATCAGAAATATTTAGATTTGTGAGATTTTTTAGAACCCACAAGACTTCACAAGCTGCAAAAGTCATGGCTCTATATTCAGATTCTGTAGAAGAACGAGAAGCAGGACTTTGTTTCTTGCTCTTCCAAGAAATCATGGAATTACCCAGAAATAGACAAAACCCTGTTACAGAGTGTCTAGAAGAAAAACACTTACCTCAGTCGGCATCAACAAAAACAATTAAACATAATTTTTCTGACCTAGTGAAGCTAACACCTTTACCTGAAGATAATTTTAACTACCTGAGAATTCTAAGAGAAGGTTTTAGATGAGATTGTCTAGGAGAATGCATAAACTAACTAAGGCAATGTACAACAAAAGCAATATCTGGTCTAGTAGTAAGTAAATACATTAGTCTTCCTATTAATTTTCGATAACCAGTATAATCAGATAGAAGAGGATCTTTGTTACTACTAGAATCAGTTACAATTAAGTTCATATCCATAGGTGTATTACAAGGTTTACACCGTAAGCAGCCAAAGTCATTACACAATTCTAAACAATACTTTTTTTGCGACATGTAAATTCCATTAGCACAATCTAAAATTTCTATTCCCAAAAAGAATTTTAATTTTCCTAAATCTTTTATAAGAAACTTATTTTTCAAAAAATCTTTTACTTTATTAATTTTAGATTGACAATTTCCAGTAATAACAATATCATCTACATACACTAGGATAAGAAAAACATATTCAACTTTCTTTGTAACCAAAGAATAATCGTTAATACTTTGAATAAAGCCATGTTCAATTGGACATGAAGAAAGCTTAGCATACCATTGTTGTGGAGCTTGCTTTAAACCATATAAAGACTTAACAAGTTTACACACATGTTTATCTTTAGAATTATACTAACCTTCAGGTAATGTCATGTAAATTTCTTCAATTAAATCTTCGTATAGAAAAACATTATTAACATCTAATTGAAACATATTCCACTTATTCTGAACAACTAAGGATATAATGCATCACACAGTTACCATTTTAACATCAGGTGAGAAGGTTTCTTCATAATTGAGACCTTCTCTTTGACTATACCCCTTAGCCACAAGTCTAGCCTTGTATCTTTCTAGTCCCCCAATGGACTTATATTTTATTTTATAAATCCATTTACAACCTATAGGTTTTCTACCCTGAGGCAAGTCTGTTATAACCCATGTACCATTTCTATGTAAAGCTTCCATTTCATCATTCATAGCATTTATCTAATTTACATGACTACATGCTTCTTGAAAACTTTTAGGTTCAACAGACTTGTTTAAGTTAGATACAAAACACAGATTTTCATATGAAAGATAAGAATAATTGACAACTTTTTTCAAACCGTATTTAGTTTTTCCTTCAATAACAAAGTCATCAAATTTATGTGGAAACATAGAAACTCTAGTAGACCTTCTAGAGGGTTAGGTAGAAGAATGTATACTGAGAGTACCCTTAGAATTGAGACTTGTGGAACGAGTTTCATCATTTTGTTGAGTACTGGCAACCACATCAAAGCTACTCAAGAGTTGCCATATGATAACTCTTTCAAGGTTATTTTTAACTTGAGTTGAAGAACCTTGGTTAATTGACTCAATTGAGCGGCAGAGGCTCCTCATTGGCAGCTCTAGTTGGGCTACCTAGCAATCTATGGTTATTAGGGGCAGAAACAGACTAATGTATATGTTCATCAGTGGAATGGATTCCATTCTCATCATTGGGTATCGAATCCACAAACTCATTAGATGAACTATTCATGAAATCAAAGAAGTCTGTTAACATCATCATGAATGGAATCACCAATCCTGTTCGTCCTCATCTTAAATGGAAAAACATTTTTATAAAACTTGACATCTTGAGAAACAACACATTTTTTAGATTCCAAGATAAACAATTTGTAACCTTTATTTGAACCAGCATACCCTAATAAGACACATTTTTCAGATTTAGGTGAAAATTTATCTGTTACATTAAGTATGACAGCAAAACAAAGACACCCAAAATTCCTAAAATGAGTAAGGACGGGTTGGAATCCGTAAACTAACTCATAAGGGCACTTACCATTTAACACAGAGGTTAGAGTTCTATTTATTAAGTAGGTGGCAGTAATAATGCATTCACTCCACATTTTTAGGGGAACCCCTCCATGAAACATAAGAGCCTTAGCAACTTTTAGTAAGTGACGATGTTTTCGTTCAACAATCTCATTCTGTTGGGGAGTATAAACACACGAGGGTTGATGTAAAATTCCTTTGTTTTTAAAAAATTTACTCAGTCTTTGAATCATAAATTTAGAACCATTATCACCTCTAAATTTTTTAGCACACTTTCCAAATTGAGTACTGAGCAAATTATAAAAAGTGATGATATTTTCTTCAACTTCATGTTTACCTTTTAATAAAAAGACCCAAACAACACGGGTATAATCGTCAACAACAGTGGGAAAATATTTATAACCTTCCCTACTTTGAACATGATAAGGTCCCCAAACATCCAAGTGAACAAGGTCACCTAGATCTTTGGATTTATGAATACTTGACTCAAACTTCTCCCGAGTTTGTTTTTCCTTATGACAAATTTCACAAGACCCACAGTCATCATTATCAATTTTAAGACATTTTTTAAACTATTTTATAACTTGGTCAGCGGGATGACCAAGACGAGTATGCCATAATTGGGCAGAAGATAAGCAAGATATATTAGAATTATGAGCAGTATGAGAAGCATAGGAAGACTCACTGTTAAAATTTTGATCAAAATAATAAAAACCCCCTTCTTGACTACCAGTTCCACTACATTCCCCCGTAACAAATCCTGGACATAACACTTTGATTCATCAAATCCTACAAACACTTTGTTATCCCTAACAAGTTTGTGAACAAATAACATATTAACATTGAAATCTGGAACAACCAACACATCAAACAAAGTTATATTATTTGATAACTTAAAATCACCAATTTTATTTATTTTAGCTTTTGTTCCATTAGGATAACTTACTCTAAGATCAATCTCAGAAACATCAACAACGTTATTAAGGAAATCAATATTGTGAGTCATGTGTTGATTTATGCCAGATTCAATAATCCATCCAGATCTAACAGGTTTAAAGATACCTGCCATATTAGTAGTAGCACCTTCAGATGGATGTTTTTGTTCAATTAATCCAAGGATTTTAGTAAATTGGTCTTTAGAAAAGGAAAAAGAAGAATGGGATTCAACAGTTTTGGTAGGAGTTGACTCAAAAACACATACATTGTTGGTCATGCGTTTTAAAAGGTTGATTTTGAGGTCTGGACCGATTTTGAAAATTATTTGGGAACCCTATGAGTAAAAAACACCTTCCAATAGTATGTCCAAAAGCTCCATAGTGCTTACAATTTAGGGTAGTATTTCTACCTAAATGACGCTTGTTGTCAATGGTCTTGCTAAAGAAGACTGTATTTTGAGGTTTGGATCGAGACTGAGAAAATTCCCCCCCTCTATGAGACTCTTCTCTTGAGATGTAATAACCCTCATATTCCAAATACATATAATTCACATCATCATACTCATAATACTCAAAATAGTATTATTACAAAACATGAACTATCAAAATGTATCTTTAATACATATGCATAACAAGCTAATGTCACAATTAGACATTTCCCTTGCCTTTATCTTTCAGAGCACGCTGTCCTGCAAAACAGGTTAATCCAACATTTGAACGTTAGACCAAAAGGTCTAGTGAGTGTATAATCTCATACAACAATATATATTCCAAACATTCAGTTTAGAAGCAAACCTGTTCTGAAACATAAATATATTTATGTTTCTCGCGGATTATACCGCCATCTCATTCTCATATCTCTTCCACACTCACGGTTACACCGCCCACTATATCACTCTCGCGGTTACACCGCCATCTCACTCGCAGTAAACACTGCTCAATCACTCTCRCGGTTACACCGCCATCTCACTCGCAGTAAACACTGCTCATAACACTCTCGCAGTTACACCGCCATCTCACTCGCAGTAAACACTGCTCATAACACTCTCGCGGTTACACCGCCATCTCACTCGCAGTAAACACTGCTCATAACACTCTCGCGGTTACACCGCCATCTCACTCGCAGTATACACTGCTCAA